AATCTACGGTTTGATACCAAACTTACTGACATAAATTCAGGAAATAGTAGTTCAATAAAATTTTGAATGTGAGTCAACAAACGAGATGACATGCATGGCCTTTCACCTGTGATCTGTTTCAAAAGGGTTAATACTGTTAAATATTTGGAAGTAAGCCCTAAGTTTTAAACAACTGTATAACCTTTCACAATGCACAAAAAGATTGTTTAACTTTGCCAATACACATTTATTATTCTTCAACAGAAAAATCCAAGCTGAAGGAAATTAAAAAATAAATATAGAGACTACATACAAGTGTATATACAAACGTGTAAAGAACTGAATATATATATTTTATGAATTCTGAAACAAATATTAAAATGCATGCAAAAGTTTCAAATTATCAAACTAAAATTCAGAATGCAAAGTTAATACATACTCATTAACAATTGGCATGAAAAATATCAGTGATCATTTTGTACCAGATAAAAGAACACTGTCATTTTCAGCCAGTATAAAGAAGTGTACTCTGAACATAAATTGAGATTTTGTATAATCATTGATATAGTGAGGGAATATTGCTTCCAATAATATTAAGACTTAATTCTAAAATAAATCATTACATATCCATAAATGGTCATCATTTGATATTTATGCTCATAGCCACTTATATCTATTTATGTCTACACTAGCCTACTTAGCTCTATATTTCAGCCATATGGTAGAAATTACATGATGTAAGAAAAATGTATGAGGCTAAGAAGTGGAAAAGACAGTAAACAGAGAAACGCCTTCCCATGGTATGAAAGAAAAGCAGTTGGTGATAAGTTGGGGTTGCTTTGTGTGTCATGTGTCCAGGTGGAAAAATATAATGATAAAAATGGATACAATTTTCTGTGGAGTACTTTTTTTCAACACCCAAAAGCTCTTCTGTGACCTACAAATGTTTGTTTATTGTCCCCAGGCTGCACTTAAAGACAAAAATTGTTCTATGTAAGCTGTATAAAATATACAAGTTTTAATCTATCAATCATTGTTTAGGATTCTCATGTTCACCAAAAATAAATGTGAGAATGTTTTACCTAAATTTATCTGCCAAGACATACACTAATCTTGAGTCCCAAATTAAGTTACTTTTTTTCATTCATATTTTTCTCATCATTAATGTTTCATACAATAGTAGTGTAATTAGCACCACAAAAATGGCAGGCAATGCTCAAGAAGGTCATAGTGTTTGGTGCATTTATGCAAATAATAGATTTAGAGATGTATTCTTAATCACCCTTTTGGTTATTAAAATATACATGGTTTTATTTCAAATAACAGGAATAGAAGATACAAAACTTTACAAACTTCTGAAATGTATGCAAATGATTCTATCATTTTAATTACACCATATTATTTCAGTTCCTTGGTAGTCATACTTGTACAATTCTCCAGAATCAGTAAAATACTTTTACCCACATTTAATTGTTAAGATTTTTCCTTTTTAAAAATGTACCTATTTTTGTTCTAATAATTTAAAAAAATTCAGTGCATGATATGCACGTTGTGTACAGATATACATCCAGTTAAAACAAAATAAGTTTACAAACAGCATACAATCAGCAGTAAAAACTAAACATGCAAACTGACAACACAACTATGCAAGAGTCAGAATAATGATGCAACGGACAGCACATCTCTTTTTATCTAAGGTGTTTGTTTCAGAATTCAATTTAAGTATTCATAACAAAGAAGACTCATTCAAGTGTATCAGAGTTTGGGATGATATTTTCAAAGAGTGTCAGTGTAAGTTCACAAATTTTTTGGTAAACAGTTTTAAGTGTTTTTCTGAGAACAGAAATATTTTGTATAAAGTTCACAAATTTTTTCTCTGTCATACATCAAATCTTTATTTTAAACACTATGGACAAGTAATGTATTTTTTCAATCAAAATATTTTGATATAGTATTACAGAGGAATTTGAACTGTTAATGCAATACAATTAACAAGTTTTCAAAACTCATCTAATATTCACGTTGGAACTCATCACTGACAATCCACAAAAATTGGTTAACTACATTGTAAAAACTATTTTGTCTGAAATGTGATTGTATTTCTATACCAAATCTATGAAAAATTGTAGTATGTGAGTTATGAAATTATCTTTGTAGGTTACAGATGTTAAAATATGCAAAGAAGAAAGTGTAGGATTACGGAACATGAGTTACTGATGCCCTTTGCCTACTTATTTTACATTTTTCAATTCAATTCACATAAATATCATAACTGCAAGACTATGTTTTTATACATTTTCTCCCTTGCCACAAACATAACATACATCATTGTAATGTGTTGGATTTCACCTGTTTTCAAGAAATTTTGACAACAAAGCCCCACTAAACAGCAAGTATTTATTCATTTGACCAGCATTTATTAACTGAATGCAAAAAACCTACTTACTACAAGCTATGTTGAAGTTCTTTTGCTGTTCCAAGTGTTTACTATTGGATGTGGCTATACCAATAATTATCAAGTATGCAAGTGAAAAACTTGCAAATAGCAATTAATTGAGCAGCCCTCATTTTCAGTACTACATCCAAGGAGTTAGTGTTTTTTGCAATTATGGAACAGAATTCAAGCATGTTCACATCTTATCCTGGGTTGATCTTGATCAATCACGATAGGTAAATTATCATGAGGGCTTATTATTCCTTGCTATAATTATACTGATACATACTGGTATCAGCTACTGAAACATACTTTTGCCTAATGTATCAGATTTGGTTTTATTGTAACTGAAACCAATATTATAACTGCACTATATATTTATTTCTTTGTAGTAATACAAAATGATATGTTCTTAAACAATAGCTTTTCAACCTATCATTATCATAGCTGACTTTCACAACTAAACACAACAGAGTTATCACATGCACACAGTACATTTTCATGTTACCAGATCTGATGTTAGTTCCTAGTTTTAAGTTTATAACTTGTATTTTAAAGCACATATTAGCTACCACTGTCAACATATGTTTTACAGTACTGTTTAGGCTTTTCTACAAATGCACACTCAACAAAGAATATAGTCTTTTTTTTTTTATTACTAGTCCAAGTACAAAGTAATTTTCATGGTGAAATTAAAAATACATTTCCTCATCTCAAAAATCTCAAATTTCATTTGCATAATCCCTAAAACCTCCTAAATACAATTCAAATATTTGTTTTTGGTAAAACTTTATATTTTACCTGCTATTTTCTCTAACCATATTCTATACAATGTTGGTCAATTTGACCAACCTCGTAACCACCAAAAAAAAAAAACAGACATAAATCTAAATTACCCTCTTTTTTCTTTTTAGAATGACATAAAATTGTAACATGAAACTATATTCATTTATCCTAAGTACATTTAAACTTGTAACAGTATACATCTATTTATACAGAACTTTTATTGTTTTATTGCCCCTTGAACCATATCTAACTACTATTCATGCCATTATAAGTTGTAAATCACTTGAGGAATGTGGAGCTCACTATCGAATTACATTAGCCATGAGCTACTCCAAGCTGCTTCCGTGCATGCTTGCATGCATTGTTAAAACATTTTAATATATTATTATTATTAATTATTTTACCTAATCTAACTTTAAATAACCTAAAGAGACTCCTATTTTTACATTTTAGTTATTTTTAGAATAATAAATAAGGAATGCACATGAAAACAGTAAATAAAGTATTTATCTGGGTCATCTTTTTGCTGTCAGCTGTCAATGAAATTTAACCGTACTTTTTTCTCTTTTTTTTATACTAATGTTAGTAGTGCATTAAATAATTTTATTTAATTATATAATGCACCAAAGAACATAGGTTAATAACATGGAAAAAGCAGACAATGACCCATAACTATAACCATTTTTCTGGCTTTCTAACTATGTGGCAAGAGCCATTACAAATTAATCCAAACTAGTCGACATGTTTTCTGTGCAAAGTTTGTACTAAAAGAGAAATTGACAATTCTCTGTCCAAAAAACATTATATAATATGTCATTTGACAGATGAAAATCTATTTATTGGTTATAAATAATATGGAATCCAATGTAAGAGAAAACTAATAAGATATCCTGAAAGAGAGGATGAAACAGGTGGGTGTTGCAAGAGTGTCTGATTTTCTATTTGATGGCTCTAACTAAACAAAGGCTATAAAATTATGCTTTGTCTGATCGATGAAGATTTTGTTGAGAGTAATTTACGTTAAATTTCAAACTTATTGGAGGGGTGGTGAATAAATTAAAGAAGAGGAAATGTCTAGAGAAAAAAAAAAAGTCACATTTCTTACACTAGGGGACATTTAGGATTATTTTAAATATTGCCTTAAATTAAGAATTTAAAATTTGTATACTATTAAAATATGGATTATTAGCTGTGAATTTATGCCATACTAATTGGTATAATATAAAAAAAATGTAATTGAATTACATTTTCAATGTATGTCAATAAATACCTCATGACATTTGCAGTAAAGGATGCACATGAGGTTAACCAAAACTGACAGAGCCATTCATCTTACCGACCTTTCCAAACAAATTTTCTTAGAAATAGTTGTTTTCTGATATATGCTACAGGGAGATTGACACTGGTTGCAAAACTATTGTAGAACCATACTCTGATTTAAGGAGGATTTCACAATAAATTGAAAGGTTGGTGATGAATTAGCAAAATAGTTGTCTCATACAATTAATGATCATCAGTGTTGACAGCTATAGTCACTAGCTTAAGGCTAGGTTAGGGATTATTTATTGAGCACTAATTACTTACAACTCATTCAAATTGAAAATTCTAATTCAATGACTGTCCATCAACTTCTCCAATACATGTACCACTGGGCTAACAACCACATAAGTAATGGAAAAAAAAGGTTACTATTCTGTATAATTTTCAATTCTCAAATAACAGTTTTCATGCTTTATGGCACAGAACTTGTTGCTGATTTTACTGGGTTTATACTTTCTAATTTCTAATTTAACACACTTACCAGCTTGTTGTTGCTTTCTGTCTGAAGCTTGCTTCAATGGTAAACATACAGGACAATCATTTCTAGTACAGTTCTTCCAATGAGAAATAATCTGTCTAGATGATGCACAGTGGGGAACAGGGCAAGTTTTTCCAGCTTGACAAGTTGTCATATGATTCAATACATTCTTCATGGTTCGACAATGAGGAAGAGAACACTGATGTACTTCACCATTAGCTTGACTTTCACGCCTTTGACACTTATGAGCATGAAGAAGTAAAACTAACTGCTGCTGTATCAGTTTTCGCTTTTCTGGATCAGTAGTATTAGTTCCTGTTCCACCCTGAGGAGCAACATTTCCAGTTGTGGTTGTGGGAGTAGAAAGAGTATTTGTAGTAGATTCCTGTGATGAAGCTTGAGAACCAGTTATATTTCCAGACACTACTGCTTGTAGTTGTGGCTGTCCAACCTAGCAAAACACAAGACAATGAGAAACTGATCTTCATGTTTCCTACAAGCCTGAACACTTGAAAAAAGTTCTTAAATGCATAAAATGTTCAAAGTATCACATGTTTATTTAATATGAATATTAACACCAACCTTATAAACCCAAAGCAAGCATCAGTTTCTATACTGTAATTTTTGATATGATGTGTGTATCTTCACAAAACTTGGCATGCTTTTAGTAAACATGACAAGACTTTTGTACATAAGAAACCAGATTTTCTAACTATTTTTACTAAAAATTTGTACTTAAATATATGGAGTTATGGCATTCACTGCTCCAAATGCAAAGTGATTTTCATGTTAAAATCAAAAATACTTTCCTTCATCTGAAAAATTTCAAATTTCATTTTTATATCCTCTAAAACCTTGTAAATAAATAATGAACTTTTTTCAGTTAAATTTTATATTTCATCTACTACTTTCTCTACCCTAACTCTATACAGTCTTGGTCAGTTTTGACCAACCTTGTGTCCAACATAGACAAATTCAAAATAAATCTAAATTACCCTTTTTTCTTTCTAGAATGACTGCAGATTTTAACAAGAACCTACAGTTGCTCATCAAAATAGCTTAAGGCTCACAACAGTATACGTTTGTTCCTACTTTCTTTTATTATTTTATTGCCCTTTGAACCATGTCTTAACTAATAATCTTGCCATATTAGTTGTAAATCACTAGGCAAATGAGCAGCTCAAGTTACCACAGTGAATGATGTAATGCATAAACTACTTGGAAGCATACCTCATGGAGAATTATTATTTTTGGTTATCTCACCTAATCTAACCTTATCCGACCTAATAAGTTTCTAATTTGTTAACCTTTAGCCCTCTCTGTATGGGCACCCTTTACTGTGCATGTCATGAGGTTTCTAGTGACTTACATCAAAAAGTTAATTGACTCTCTCAACACGAGCTCGGTCAATCTGACCGACTACGTAACCTCTTTGTACTCGATTAGTCTTTATAGATTTAACACTTCTAACTTTCAATATAGTGTGTATATCTTCACAAAATTTCGCAGTCTTATACTTCATATTATAAGTCTTTCACATACAAAAAATCATATTTTTTAGTGAATTATTTTTAATAAAATAAAATAAAGATTTGTCCATTAATATATTGAGTATTTGTTTTGAATAATCAATCCATGTGCAAAGTAATTTTCATGTTAAAATTTCAAATGTTTTTTTGCAGTAAAACTTTATAGTTTATGTTTTTCTTTCTCTACCCTATCTCAAAATAGGATCAGTCAATTCAACTGACCTCATAACCACCAACAAAATATCGAGAATAAAACTAAATTACCTTCCTGTCAACTGATGGAAGAAATGGTATGAAGTTGGCTGAAAGGATCATGTAAGGTATCCAGAGAGACATTAACAAAGACTGTGGTAACATCTTAAAGATGATGTGGAGAGATTGCTCATCTTAAGACCACACATTAAAAGGGTGAAGGTGTCAAGAATCACATACCACCCAAACAAGTGTTCACAACAGTATGCAAGTCCAATGAAGTGGAAAAAGAAAGATGACTAACGTCATGTGAGATTGACTGAACCACCACATTGGTGAAAGGCAAAGAGATTGAAAAAGAGGAATGACAAGTCAGTGGATCTTTGGATGTATCTCACTGATCTGACTGAGCCCAACGAAAGGAACTCATATAGACTAAGTCCAGAGGAAGAAGGGCCTCTAAGGAGGCTAGAACCTCCCATGTAAGAAGAAAAAGAGATATGAGAGAATGGGAAACCAAAGGTTTTATGTCTTGTGGATATAAAGGACAAGGATTAGCCAACTCAGCATACGAGTATATAATGACTACTAAATGAATTAGATACTGAGTATGGGTCAATAATGATTTGGTGAGCTTGACCAGTCAAACAAGCAAACATTGAAAGGAGAAAAGAGGTCACAGAAGAGGACACATCTCAGGATGGGGCAAAAAGGAGTCAGTCATCCATACAATAGAGGAACTGCAAACACAATAAGTGCATGCTTTATACAAGAGCTCTCAGGACCATGTTGAAAATAGATGGAGTGTGAACCATAAAAAACAAAGAAAGCTCCTGTATGATCCAAGGTTTTCCTTGAAGAAAGTCCATAAGTGTGCAAAGCTGAGCTCCTAAAGAACTTGAGCCAAGGGTTGGGTCCAGAAATCATTTATCTCCAAGCACACTGACAGCTGGCCTGTTAGGAAATGACACCAGAAAGGGACCACTGGATGGGGAATAGGATATGGATAACTGATAAGGCTTATCAAGATGAGAAATCTGTTGGATCCCCCTGGACCTAGATGAAATGGACAGCAGAGTGATCAGAGACAAATGCTAACAAGATGCCTCAGGTCTAGTTTCCAAAAGAAAAGAAACTTCCCACAAAACTTCTGCTCAAAGAAGTGGTGCCAAACTAGGTTCCTCAAGATAAGTCTGAAGAAGTCTAGCTTCAGAAAGAAGGGCATCCCGACCAAATCATTCCCAGAAACAAAGATATCAAGTTAACTTGGCAACTGTTGAAGAAATCCAGGCAGCGTGGAGAACAGGTAGGTGTGACATTCCACAGTAAAGCTTTCAAGGTTGTGAAACCGAGCCTCCGAAAGAGTGGGTAAGGATGATGAGTCTGAGCAAACAAAGATGAAGATAAGAAGACTGAGGCAAGAGAGTCAAATTAAAGAGAATAAGAATATCCCTAAACTGAAGAGTAGGTTCTAAGGGCTGGAGTTCTATGACAAAAGGAGAATCCAACCACAGGTTAGAGAAGAGTCTCAAGGCGGCCAGAATATTGCAATTAACACTTTTGCTACAGGCATTTTTTTTGCATGTCAGAAAGTTTTAGTGAGTAAAGTTCAAAATTTAATTAAATTACTTTAGTATACCAATAAATTTGGCATAAAAATGCAGCTAATAATTGAAATTTTAATAGTACTAAAGTTTTAAGTTCTTAATTTTATAAGGCAATATTTAAAAAAAAAAATCCTGAATTCCCCTAGTATGAGAATTGTAGCATTTTCTCTCTCTTTTCTAATTTATTTACTACCCCTCCAAGAAGTATGAAATTTAACATAAATTACTCATTATAATGTTGTCATTGCTCAGCTAAAGCATAATTTTTATGGCCTTTAATCTTATTTGATTACTAAAATATCAGATCCCTCTTGACATGCTCACCTTTCACATCCTCTCTTTCAGAAATTGACATAGATCTCTCTGAAGTTTAAAACCATATTATTTATAACCAATAGAAAGCCAATGTTTTGATCTATCAAATGACATATTAAACTACATTGTTTTATGTACAGAGAATTGTCAACTTCACTTCCTGTTCAAACTTTATTCCTACAAGAAATGAATGGACAAGCTTAGTTGAATTTTTAACAGCTCTTGTTGCATAGTTAGAAAGCCAGAAAAACTGTAATAGTTATGGAACATTGTCTGTTTTTTGCATGTGATTATTCTGTGATCATTGGTGCATTAGTTAATTACATAAAAATTATTTAGTGTGTTAGTACCATAAGTATAAAAGAAATAGGGTTAAGTGCCACTGACAGTTGACAGCAAGAATATCAGTCAGACAAAGTTCAAAGGGCAATAAAACAATAAAATTGAAGGATAGATAGATGTAGTTTTATGTTACAAGGTGAAGTCATTCTGGAAAGAAAAAAAGGGTAATTTAGATTTATTTTGATTTTTTTTTTGGTGGTTACAATTTGGTAAAATTGACCAATCTCGAACAGTTAGGGTAGAGAAAATAACAGACAAAATACAAAGTTTTACTAAAAATAAAATTTCAATTTATTTAGGAGATTTTAGAGATTATGCAAATGAATTTTTTTATTTTTTTAGTTGAAGAGAAATATTTTTAATCTTAACATGTAAATCACCTTGCTCTCGGAACGGTCAACACTTTGACTCCAATATATTCATGGAGAAATTTTTAGTGAAAATACTTCATTAAAAAAATTCTGATTTTTTTGTCTACAAATGACTTAACAATTACTGAAAGCTTGCAAAATTTCAAGATACACAAGCATATTAGAAGTTATAGTACGGAAACTATAAAGGTCAATTTGGGGTTATAAACTCAGCTGATTCAACTGAGCCCATAGCAAAAGTCAGGCAAGAGAAGAAAAAAGAAAAAATAATCATAGATTTAAGATGTACCCAGCAAGCTCTTATATCTTGAAAGAAACAGAGTACACAATTTCTTCTGAGGAATGTTATGACAATGGCATAGGAAGCAGGATGAGGCATGACCCCCCCAATTTTCAATATTTCCCAGTAAAAATGCATCAAAATTAGAAAAATTACTTGTACAAAAAGCAGAAGAATACATAAAATTTATTCTAGAACCCAAGAGCTTTTAGGGCCCTAAGGGAGCCCTGAATCCAGGCCATAATAGAAATGCATGTGGCACAAATTCCCTCACTTCGCTCAGTCAAATAAACCTTTGATCCACCCACTATTAATTTGCCTTTTACACCTTTGTATGACCATAGAAGGCTTCATAAACATGGACACAAAAATTCATATTCAATAAGATCCATGAAACTGAATCAAGTGAAATTTGTTTTTCTATTTCTTTCATTTTATGTTTTTGATTACAAAACAGAGAAATATTACTGGTTTCTGAGTGAGCCCATATCATGCTTCTAAAATGTTCACTCACTTAGTTGTTGTGGTCAATGATGAAACTGAGATTATCAGCTTCTGCCTGAACTCTATCCCAGGGTAAAAAACAAGGGACAATATGCCCATCATGTCAATGAAACCACATGACAGTTCTCTTGAACACTTCTCCTAAATCTTGTGGTTTGGTTATGTAAATAAAAAAGTTAATACAAGTTAATAATTTTTATTAGAGGCTTTGATTGAAATTATTTTCAATTTAAAAGTTTGGTGCAATGCAAAAGGTCCTTTGACAAAGGGCTAACAAATATAACGTGCCTAAACACTGTAGTGCCATGAAATAGAATATATTTTTGATTTATACAAAGTGCTCAAGAGGAGTATAGCACAGAGATTAATTATGTCTGGTTGAAGAGTATAGTTTAAAGAGACTAGTGCAGCACAAGTTATTATGTGTAAGGTGAGAGCACTTTTAGCAGCTTTGTGCACGTATGAAACTTTTCAGCAGTGGTGCCTAAGCACAAGCAAATTATTCTGTGGAAAGGTGAGTAGCATAGTCTGAAATAACATTTAGTACTAAATCCAGATTAGTATCATAATCATGCTAGCCTGCAGTACGTGATGGTAATAATATAATCTTCTAGATTTTACCATTACATAGAAAAAGTTTTTCAGTGTCACATCCAACTTTGCAATTCAAATCAGTTAAAACTGTGATTCCATTTTACCTTTGCATACCACAAACTAGGATGTAGTTTCTATTATGACAAAAGCAAATACTTTTTTACAATACCTTTTTCTTTTGTGCTTTGACTAAGATTGATAAATCGATTTTTGCTTTTACGGCAGGCTGGCTGCTAGGCAAAATGTTGGTGCTTATGTTCAAGCTGTGTGCACAACCCAGATAACAGATTTTCCAAATTATATGTAACTTGTATAATTATCTTTGTACTGATGATTTCTAAGTGAATTTCAGAAACCATTCTTGAGGCAGCCAGTAAATGCTTTGCAAAGTTTCCCAAATTCTCCACAGTTATTTTCTGTAGCAACTGCTAGTATGCTAAATTTCTAAAACAAATTATTTTGTTTCTGCTTGTAGTATTTGGCGAGATTTATAATTTATACATTACAAATTTATAATAAACAAACTGATTTGCTGGGCGAGGCAAAATTTGACAGAATATTTAGACCCACAATTAAATCCAAAAAAAAGGGAGACTAAGGAGTATATATATATACACACACAAACATATATACCTAATAATACACTTGCACTTGAAATAATTCCTAATATAATGTGGATAAGACTCCACATCAATTTAAGTTTCTGATTCATATTATATTTTTTATTAAGAACTTTACAACCAATTCATACTGTATGATTATTCCCAAAACAATGTGAGAAAACCTAGAATAATAGAACTTAATTTGATACTTCCAAGCAACACAAAAATACTACCTTAGCTATTAAAATTTGTAACACAAATGCTTGTAAACAACAGAATCAAGACTTAATAACACTTATATGCATCTCCAACTTCGATAAAAATGAATTAAACTCTTTTGAATTAAATCATAGCTCATTCAAAGGAGAACTTTGAAACATTACAAAGCAGGTACTAAGCACATTACCTTCATCACTGTGGTTATATTAGATGCATTTCCACGAGCATGGCCTAAAGAATTCTGCTGGGCTGAGTATTGTGGACCAACATTTGCCAAAATATTACCATGACTTGCTGTTTGCACTACATTAGGAGAAGCAACATTTCTTGAAATTCTTGCAGTACCTGGGCTATTTATCGAGATATGTGGGCCATTCATGATGCTGGTAGTGCCCATAACCAACTGCTGAGCCTGTGGAAATCCTGGCTGAGAAGTTTGTTGTGCTTGCAGAGGCAAGGTGACAGTAGAGCTAGTAGCAGTTACAGTGGTAAGTAACTTGCCCTGTGAAACTAATGATGCTGCTTCACCTAAAGATACACTTCCAACCAAATTAACAGTTCCAACAGCATTGGATGCACTATTTAGACTACTATTTACCAAACTATTAGCTTTGCTTGTCATACTGTCACTACTTTCAATTATACAGTGAGGGGCACTAGAAACATTTGTTCCCATTTTACTGGCAGTTACATTAGAAATTGAAGAAAGATTACTTGTATGAGGACTTTTCAAACTGTTCATATTAACATTATGTAAAGATACACCTGGATTTGGAATGGTCTGGTTGGCAGGTATGCCACCAAGACTCTGAAGATTACTTATGGTATTCTGAGGTTGGCTGGCTTTAATCTGCAAGAGCTGTGAAAGCTGTTGATGCCGTTGAGCAACAATACTGTTTCCTTCACCACCTTCAACTTGACTACATGAAGAGTCCACTGCACCATTCTGCATACTCTGACCAGATAAAGAAATAGTCTGCAAATGCTGAGAGCTTATTTCAGACTTCAACTCTTCTGGAAGTTCATTTTCAATATCCCAAAGTTTGACAATATTGTAATCTGCAATATTTGAAAATACACAGTTACATTCACAAAGTATGTTTCTATGGTTCTGACTAATCTATATTATAATCTCACACAACTTTTTCTTCTAAAAATTGCTGGAAAGAATTTATTCCTTTGAGGTATTCTAATGTTATGATTAAACTTTTATTACTTATATAACAAAATAATAATAACTACAGCTCAACAACAATGACTGCTTGGGTCAGCCTTAAAATAAATTCTATTTAGCTTTGTAATCAAAGTAAAAATTTTTAACTGGTATGTAGGATATATGTTGTTGTAAGCTATATTTTCAACACTTTAGTTTGAATGTTAGCTAGAGGACATAATGTTAAGATTGAAAAGTTTATTAAAGTATGTCTAGAATATCTAAAATGTTCTAATTTTGATATCAACAATTTAATAAATTCAAACAATCGCTGACAGATAAGCGTAGATCATAAATACAAGAATTAGTAAAGCATTCAGTTTTAACATGACAAAATGATTAGGAACAACAAGGGATCTATTGGTCTATCTAGGCTGTCCCATCCTCTAAACAAAACTAAAACTATTATATAAAAACAATAATAAAACCTAAAAGGCAGCCCTTATCATTCATACAGTTATCAAGCTTTCTCTTACACTAAAATTTATTTCTCCACAACATCCAAAGGCAACCCGTTCCAAATGACAACCACCCTGTTAGAAAAATAAAATTGTCTTAGCTGAAAATGATTCCTACATTGCCAAAATTTAAATACATCCCCTATTCCTACCATTCTCACCATTAACAATGAAAACAGATTATGCATCAACACTATCAATTCCATTAAATACCTCAATCAGATACTCTTCTTTTTTCAAGAGAAAACAATTTCAGAGGTCTTAACCTCTTCTTATAGGACAACCCCCTCCATCCCAGGCACCATTCTAGTAGCCCTCCTCTGAACCCTTTCCAACAATTCAATGTCCTTCCTAAGGTAAGGAGCTCACAACTGAACACAGTGCTCCAAATGCAGCCTAAACAGTGACCAAAACAATGAAATTATAACCTCTTCAGACTTGAATTCAATATTTCTGTAGATACAACCTAAAATCCTATTTGCCCTACCACTGGCAACAATACACTGTTTGGATGACTTAAGTGACTGATCAACCACTACACAAAGATATCTTTCTTTCATGACACTGTTAAGGTTATTCACATCCAAATTATACTTATAATTCAAATTTTAATAACTCACATTCATTAATTATAATTAAAAGCCACTTGTCATTAATTCACCCAACTCACTAAATAATCTAAATTTTTTTGTACAGCAGCAGGATCCTCCTCACAGCCAACAACACCCAAGACCTTAATATCACCAGCAAATTTAAGTAATTTATTAACCATTTCTTCATCTGCATTGTTAGTTGGTATAGTGCCATTCAATCAGTGAAGGTTTAGTTCTGATATAGTCTTACCTTGTCTCACACAAAGCTATCTTGATCTTCTTTCTGCCTTCTAAGCATTGCTAAGATATTTTCACACTCAGTGCACCAGTCTATATACCCATTAATTTTGTGCCATTTTTGAACATGTACATATCATGTGACTACTCTACACCAATAGTATTGTGGCATCTTTATTGGCACAGCTAGCTCCCTCTGCTATTCCCACTCAATCCTCACTTTCTCAATTGGCACAGTTTCATTTAGACATGTTTTTTTCGCATGTAGCTACCATTTATGATTGTGCTTATTTGCCATTTAAATTTTTTTCAACAGTTTTCTTTTACTGTGTTTGCATTCAAATGTTTCAACAATATGTTTATTTGCATTTATTTCTTGTTAGTGCATTATACAAGAACTTCATATGAATTTGCAATTCAATGTATCAACTACATTAGCTTCCGTTACAGTTGACAGCACTACTGGTAGTATAATTTCCCAGAAATCTGATTCAACTTTATCTGCAGAGAACATACAGGCCATAATTTGCAAGGAGCTAGATTCATATGTTTGGCCAGCAATTTATACTCCTTTTCAATCTGACAATGTTGCTGAGGATGAAAACAATCAAGGAGAAGACAATTTGGACTCTCTTTTTCTGGTACTTTCCTATTTTGGTATGTCTCACTCTACACCTCTTCAGGAGATTTCACAAATGACAAAGTAACCCCAAGTATTGGTTTCCTGGAGCAAAGAACAGGAAGAATCAAAAGACACAGGCAAAAGAAAAAGAAAGGAACATATCTGAGCAGTACCCAAAGCAAACCTAGGTGGAAGGGAACAGTAGATCAAATTTGTCATCTCCCTGCTCATTCTCAAATGGAGGAGAAAGGACAACACGCATGAGGGAACCCACAACACACTGCACTATAGCTTTGATGTCTTCAACAGTCAATGAGACTCCAGAACCCATAACAGAAATAGGTCCCATGTTTGTAGATTCATTTCTTTTCACAGGACAATTTGAAAGTCACCATCACTTAAGAATTCATAATAATAATAATAAAAGGTAGAACGATACTCAAGTTCCTTTAACGAACACAAAGCTCAGTGAACTGAAGAAGACTGCAAAATCAACACATCTGTTCAAGCCAATGCCAAGGAAAAGAATGAAGTTACTTCAAATACAAGTTACTGGATATGGAGATTGTGTCGCCCTCCTACTGGTGAGAGCTACTGTCACATGATGATATCATCATGCACAAGCACAGTTCACGTTAAATACATGAATTTTAGGTGGGAGTTAGCTCAAGGCAAGTGGCATGCAAATCTCATTAGCACAAGGGATATAGCTATTCTACGTATGGAGGTGAGGTATCATTCCTGAAATTACAATTCAGAATCTGAGAGCCTTAGGTAGGTTATCACTAAATAATTCAAAGTATCTAGAATAAAAGATGTTGATAAGAAGCTAATGCACACTAATTATTTTTATTACTGAAAAAAATTGTAACTAATTTCCATTCCTATGAAATTATGTTTCTCTAATTGTTTCCCTACTATATTACAATAAAGATACAAAACCAACTTTGTTACAAAATTTTCTTCTCAAAAACCATATTTTTAACATCGATACAGTCTCTTTACACTTGAATTCCTCATGACAAAGGACTTCTTGCACTTAAATATTTTTACTTCCCACTGAATCATAAGATTATCCTATACACATACACTTCTCCATGTAGCTGAAATGGTCTTAATTCTGAGTTCTCCTTCAATGGCAACCATTAGAAACAAATTTGTGATGTCACTATCACTAAAAATGGGATCATCATTTGCAGATTTGTCAATTATGATGAAAAACAATTTTCTGGCCAGTATATCACAGTATGGCTTTATTATTTATATAAAATCTAGAACATTTTTACAATACATCACCTGTTTTTATCTTTCCTTCAATTCATTTATACAATTTCCAGTGAAAAACTTCCATTTGCGGATATCAAACTTTATCGCAGTACAAACTGTACCAAACTAATACATATTAAAAAAACAACTGACTCTCATTCCTACCTAGATTTTGATTATTCTCATCCATAAAATACTAGAAAATTCCATCTTTTACTCTTTAATTCCCAGGACTACACAGTTTATGCAGTAAGTTGATGGTTTTACTTGCAAAATACAGGTAATTATAGACTTTTTTCCCCCAAGATCTGACTCCAAATCTTTAGTATGTAATGTTGCTCAAAAGCATTTAACAAATCTTGAAAAAGTTTGTCCAAATTGACTGGGCAAATCATGGAAGAGGTTAACCCTTTCAGCAGGAGCAGATGTGATTACCGTCCACTTGACTAGGGAAGCACATTTATGCAACAAAAATACAATAACTCTGTGTGATCCCCACAAAAACTGGTACAATTTTTTAAAGTTTATAAGTATTTTGTACATAAAGAATGACATTATTTTAATTACATCTTTCTAATAAAAATGTTAGTAGTTATTTGCACTCCAACTGTAAATAGTTCAAATACAAGGTGATTTTATTTCAAGTATAAAAATACTTTTCTTTATGTTATAGTTTTTATATTTCATTTGCATAACCTCTAGAACCTCCAAAATGAATATCAAAAGTTTTTTAAGGTAAATGTTGAAATATTTTTTCATTTTCTCTACCATATCAAGGTACAATGCAATGAAATAATTAAAATTAGGAAATATATTTTTCTTTTGTTAAACTCATAATTTCAAGTTTTTTCCTTTTCACAAGCAGTTAATTTGTAATTTTTTTGTCTTGTCCTTTACTACTTCTTATTCATCATTACACATATTACAGTTTCTTTTGGAAACATATGAAACCATTCTGCAAAATTTTCATTCAGCTCATAATATTATAAGCCTTAAGAATGGACACAAAGGATGATGCATATTTAAAAATTTTTAAACCTTTTAATTATGAATTTAAATCATAACTAATACACAATTAATTAAAATATAATAGTAAGATCTAAGTACAGTTTAAACTGTATCTTTAACTATAACATATCTAATGAAAAACACCTTAGGTATGAAAAAAAGGTGTGGCCAAAAATGAATTGAGTGTGTGACTTAAAAGAATGAAATCAAAATTGGTGGCCAAACTGATAGCTACACTTATAGCATTGATAAGAATTTTACAGCAAACATTCATTCATTGGTTAACCAAGCCACATTTTTTGTTCAAATTTGGGCATGATGGTGGATAAAACCAAATACATGGCCTAGCTAACTAATGGATGAATATTTGCTGTAAGATTCTTATCAATGCAGTAAGTGTAACTACCAGTTTAGCCACCAATATGGATTTCATTCCTTTAAGCCGCATGCTAAATCCTTTTTTGGTCACACCTAAGGTGTTTTTGATTAGATATCATGACTTTCTGTCAATACACATCAACAAATCACACCAAATAAGAAACTGACACTCGATAGTAACCAACATTACCTTTAGGATCACAACCCTAATGCTCTTAAAATATATGGTGGTAGTTTTTTTTCTCTGAAACAGTATTTATAGTTTCCTCTATAGTAATGCCATGGAATTTAGATTAGCAGTTTCTTGTCATCCTCCCATGCAATTGGTACAGCCGTATCAAGCATTATTATTTATGTAAATGCTTAAGTTAATATCACATGATGCTAAACGCTCTTTAATTAGGATAATTTCATAAAATTTAATAAACTTGTGCTGAAAAGTTGACAACGAATAATCAATAATAACCGTCCACCCAAATGATTTTTTTTGAAAACTTGATCCAGAAACTGCTAATCTAGTTTCCCTGGCCTAACTAATACTTATGTATCTGCACGTCCTTTCACATTATAGTTTTGATGCTCTAAATCAGCAGTCTTTAATCCGATTGACAAAAAACAAAAAATGGTCCACTTTTACTCTTAGGTGAAGCTGTATTAAAAATGTTAGATCGATAGATAACGTGACTTTTTGCATAGGCAAGCATAAAAATTTGTTAAATTTGAGTGGTTTTTGCTGAATAACTTTGCACATGTGGCTTATATGTAGACCAAATGAGACTCCTCATTATAGGCTGAAAAGATGTATCGGTGCATCAAATTTGAAAAAAATCCATAAAAGTATGTTTTTATATCAAATAAGGTATCATACTTTTGGTGTGTGTGGAGAAAAAAAAAGGAAGAAAGTCATGACACCTCTTACACTATAAATATTCCATCCCACTTATCCCAAAAATTGCCAAGTTTATATTCTCCATCACCAATCTACTCATCCAATAATAATACATTTAACTAAAATTAAGATATTTTACAGATTAAATTCTAAATAAGTCAAAGACTAAAATCTTCCACAAACTTAATACCGATAATTACTAGTACCACACCTAAGACATCCATCATGTCTCTAGTTACATATAACTAATTGCTAATGTAAATAAGCTATTGCTGTATTAAACACTCAGCAACTATCAAATAATAATAGAACTAATTACAACTCAAGCAAGACAAATTTTTCATCTATTTCAAGGCTCCAAACATGGCAAACATAACTACACTATACAAAATATCTTAATTTCTCTCACATGCACCACTTTTTTTTAAATAATAACTAAAACAGTAGAGCAATTGGGATAAAATACATTTTTTATATGCCAAATTTAATCTTAGGATGAAATTCTAAAAAGGTACAACACATTACTAGTTAAATCAGGCCTCAATACATATTTTCAGATCTAGGAGTCAGCTTAAAAACTTCACTACTGTTTGTACCAGGAAATGGGGGATAGGAATATTTATTTACTTTAACAGCAAGGAGTGGATGGTAACGATTATATGATATCAACAACCTCTTGATAGTATTGCCTGAACTACCTGTCTTTGGTCCCATCCGAGTCTAAACACATGCACTGATTGGTTGAATTGAGAGAAAGAAGAAAAACAAAATGGTGTGAAATTAGTAACAAGTTGTGCAACCACAGCACTTCATTCCTGAAAGAATATGAAGTGCTAAATCTGCCAATAAGATCCTAGAAACAGAATTTGATTTAGGACTCAAAGAATTTGATTATATAGTTCCAGACTTTCAAAAGCTCAGAACTGTTCTAGATTTGAATTATATTTAACACAGCCCTATTCAGAAACAAAATAGCTAAGTATAACTTTATTTCTTATTCTCAAAATAAACCATGTACAACTTTCTCTTAAACACAATTTATCCATGCCTGTGCATCACTTCATATTTATATTTTCCTCCTTTAATGTACTTCAACACCTATTTATTACTTCCATAATTATCACTATTTACTATCAGTTGGATTCCAATCATTCTTACATCTTGCATCCTATGTATATGCTTATCAACTTTTGCTTAAAAGACCCAAGAAGTATACACATTTTAAACTACATATGATACAGAAAACTGAAATATGTATCATTCTGTACATTTAAATGTTAATTTACAGTAGTCATTGCCACTTTCATTATAGTTATGTAGTTATAAAAGTTGCCACAAACATGTGTGATATATATGTATAATAGACAATAAGCTCAGTAATACAAAAGTATGGCAGTGTTTTTACAAGTAAAAGCCCAAATTAACAAACATTTAGGACATTTTTATTGTATTTTTTTGTTTTTCACTACTAAGTTTCCCTAGTTTCAATTTTGGGGATTTTTACACTAGCTTGTTATTTGTTGGCATGACATTCAGCCTAGCAAGTAACTGTTAATGCCAGGAAATTAAATACATGTTGACAAAATTTATCAATATCCTTAGCTTTTTTTAATGAAACGCATGTTTTTTTACTGTGTTAAATTAACATAGAAATCTCTTCCAAATATTAAGAAAAGTATTTTTGCACCAAATATGCTGTTTATAGTTCAAGTACTTTAATTTGAAGTAGCGATACTCACACCAAAATACTTAACATTGTTTATAATTATAAATACAACTTTTAGTTTTACAAGGCCTAGTAGTACTAGTAGTAGTGATAAATTTTAGACAGGCCTAACGAACTACTGTCAGAATGAAGAGTACATTATCACTTATAAGTTATATAACAGTTGATGTAATTAGTTGACGATTCAATCTATGAATCTCGAGTAACGTTATCCTTAAAGTTACGTTGTAACTTGTAGTACCACATGGATCAGTTCCGTGACCCTAATGCCACAAGTTACCAATAAATATAGTTTAGGTTAAACTGAATCCCAATCAGTGAGTTTAAATTACAAATATTTAGGCCTAACGTGTAAGACTTGCCTGCAGAATCTGGAGTTGACAGCGTCGACTCGGTAAGTTTCTGCCGTTTACTCGGAGGTCCGTCCACAAGATGGTCAGCCATGTTGTTTGATACAGCCCTATGCTCTAAGAAGCATAAATATCTATTAGATATCAAGACTTTACTTTAAAGTTTTTCAAAGTGTCCTGTCTTACCCAATTTCGATAAACAAAACCGCAAAGTAACACACAATTACTTTCATCTTCGCGCTGAGAATTCACACAATATGTCATCATCTTCTCGCTCTACGGCATCTTAATCTTAATACGAACCCTCCATCAAAACTTCGCGGTAACACACCGGACAACAATCCTTAGTTCAGTTGTAACAACATTAGGTCCTTTTAGATGAAAACCACATGGTATAAAGTGACCGCTATAGACCTGAATCGGTTTTACAGATTACCATCTTCTAAATATATTGGAATAGCTACCCGCAAAAATGCTTAACGTGTGTAAAAAACTGAAGTACATGCCTTAAAATTTCTAACTTTAAAACATCCAATATGGCGTCTGTTGATAAAACTTTTACTACGTTTTCCAGCTACGCTTACGAAGAAACCCGAACCAAAAGGGCTGGTTCTACAAGGGTAAATGTCATTGGTTTCAAGTAATCACATGACCAAAAAAGCATTTTCTATTAGACAATTTATTTCTGCCTCGCTATAATTACATACCGAAGTTACCCGAACCTTTTCCGGAGTAGATCTTCTTATGTGAATGATAAGGTAATTTGCATATGTCGTAAGGTTTGTTTTCTTCACCTTCGTGCATCGGTTCAACTGTATTCATACGCTGCGCCCAGCTGATCAGTTGCTGTCATGCTTATACAGTGGCAGAAATTAATGCCTGGGATGGATTTATACTATACGTTTTTATTCTATGTCAGTAGTTGCTGTGCCATGTAATTTCAGATTGGACTTTAATAGGATGCTAAATACATTATTTATTCACAAATAAGTTAATCTAAAAGTAATCCAATTGCAGCGCTTTACTCTGTATCGCTAGTGCAGTAGTTTTAAAATACAAGCTGCTATTGGTATTACTTATAGTCGTCAAATACGCGTCTTGAAGAATAAGGAAAAGTAAAAATTAATCAAAAGCAACTAAACAAAATAAATATCCTTGTTATGTACGAACCATCACTAAACTTTAATGTATTCCTGACACAAAGATTAGAAATTTTCGTGTACACGCCATTCATTTGACATAAAAATAAATAGGCAAACATTCGCGGGCGAATGTAACATGTCTCCATCACACAATACCAGCATGGCCAATTCTAACACCAGAAAATCGAAAACTGTCTAAATCACTACTTGGGCCATGCAATAAAGTATTTTTGTACCAAAAACCCATGTAGATTTGTCGAAATAAGGGGGAGTAATTGTCAAATAACCTTAAAATTATACTTTTTGTGGCATGTTGACCCCGCTATGATTACTATAAATAGACATGTCCAACATTTTTATTTGTCAATGAATATTGCCTGTAGAAAAATATTTTTGTGCTACGTTTCATGTAAATTGGCCAAAACAAGGCTAACTAATTGACCAAACCCCCTAAAATTATGGGGTTTTTTACCTTTTGACCTCCCTAAAATGATCAAAAATAAGCATATTCCACATTTTGTATGCATGTGTATGGGAACTGTAAAAAAAGTATCTTTGTACCAAATTCCACGTACATTGGTCAAAATATGGCCGAATAATAGACCAAAAACCACAAACTTAGGTGTGTTTTTTTTAGCTCTAGCACTCTAAAAAGAGACAAAATGGGAAAATCCAACTTTTTTGTATGTCAACGTATTTGGTGCGTGAAAATCTATATTTATGCCAATTTTCATCTTTTTTGCTGTATTTATGACAGCAAAGGAGCCCAAAATACATATTTTTTTGGGGTATTTGACTTTTGACCTCATAAAATCCTTAAATAGGCTTAAATAAAAAAAATGAAAAGATTCTTAGGCGTATTGAACCAAGATATAACACTACCAAGTTTCAAGTCAATCTGCCTAGAAATAAAGGAATGTCAATCGACTAAAAAGTGTTTGGAAGAAGAAAAAAAAACAATATAAAAACAGTATGTCTCTCTATATAGACACAAACATAAGGCAACATTTGTTACATTAATTACTTTACTGTTTTGTTGCTATTAAAAATTGTAGAAAGATAGACATAACACTATTTTAAGCAAACTGATGAATCTTTCAGATGTATCCAATACTAAAAATGGAATAGTGGTGTTGAAAATGAACAAGAAAACTTTAACGTGAAAAAGAATACATACGTGATAAATAATTTGATACATCCTTTAGATTTCAATGTAGATGATGGGAACAGTAATTACTTAAACTATCCTGTTATAGAACGTTAATGCTGTAAAGACCACATGAGATAGAATAGACAATTTTTAGCTGGAGAATCGTTTTGTATATTTGACTTCAATGTTATTCAAGATGAAGACGTATGCAATGCATTCAACTAAACAGAATATAAATATTGTTTTGACAGAATCTGTTCCACATGCTATGAAGAAGAAACAGGATAATTAGAATAGCTAATATCATTCCATCTTACAAATGATTTAAGGAGGTCTTGCACTGAATGTGGTATAGGAACTATAAATGTCAAGAATATCGTGATGATCGGCATGGTCAGTTAAAGGTAGGATTTATTTTCAAATTTCTTGACAAGATAGTTGCGTTAAGTGGTCAAGAGAACAACTCAAGTAAACTAATATTTGGCCCATCTTTAAATTAACTAAACGTGAAGAAGGAAGGCCATCTTGATAAATATCAATTCTGTAAAATCCATGGACTAATATGTATTGGTTACAAATAATTATAGGTGGTATCACCAAGATCGCTCTAATAGATAAGCTCTCTATTTTCTACTTAATCTCTCAACCACTCAGTATCTAGGTATGTGTAAAGAATACTTTAGAGAAGGTACAATCTAAGTAGATTGTATGTTGCCAAACGACGGAAAAGTGTTACTGAACTTGTTAATTGTGTTGTGAAATAAAGAGATACCAAAAGAGAAAAATTGTAGACAATAAGATTTGTTATAAGCTATATTTTTAATGTTGCAATTTAAATGTCGTCTAGAGGGAGATGGGGAATTGAATAACGTATTGTTGCGTCAGCGAGGTCACGTGACTCGTTCTCTCGAACCTTCGGGAATTGTCGGGAGATTACTAGATATAGGGTTGTTCTTGGTTATATATAAGAGGGTGACAACGTTACGGGACAATAATATGTGTGTAGGTAGTGATTAATTGATCTAGCAGTCAGTTT